GTCGTCGTCGTCGTCGTCGTCGTATAGTCCAAATCGACATGGCAGTCGTGGTAGTAGTCATCGTCGTCGTAGTAGTAGTAGTACTACTACTACTACTACTACTACTACTACTACTAGATGTAGTAGCAGTAGCAGTAGCAGCAGCAGCGGCAGCAGCAGCAGCAGGAGTCACTAGTAACTAGTAGCAGGCTGACTGTTGCGATTAACATTTTCGTTCTAGCGCCACTGTAGGCGCATGCCCGGCTCTTCGCCTTTGTTCCCACACTATCCACGGCCACCGAGTAAAAGCACGTATTCCGCATCTGCAAGATCAAAGCTGAAAACCCCAGACTTAGGGTACCAGAGTTGGAAAAGGCCAGATTCCACGCGGGCATGGGTCAACCGCAAAATCGGAACTCTCATTGCAGAGAGAGTTGCGTCTGCCGCACCTGCCCCCAGGGATTCCGTTAGCGGAGTTGAGAAAGCAGGGTTATCCCCTGTTGCCCCGAGATCCAGCACCATTAACAACAAATAGTATAGGTCATTTATAAGGCCCCTATATTTGTCTCCATGATTTGATGATTTTGGTTCTCACTTTGAACATCACACACTCCGGGGCCTTACTAATTAGAATAGGGTTTTGCGGGGTTCTTTATTATAATTATAGTATATATACATATACCCCAAAACTCTATTCTAATTATTCAGGCTCCTACATGAGGGCTTAGGCCTCGACTTCACCCGTACTGGGGGCCTTGTCACTCATGGCACAGTAGAGGATGGTGTCTGACGCTGCGTCGAAAACCATCATGTAGGGAAAAGCCACCTCGGACCACCGTAGCTGCAAGTCCAGGAGTCTAGGACGGGCAAATCCAGGGGCCCTAAGAATTAGAATTATAGGGTTTAGGGTTTTTTCCCTCTCTGCCAGTTTAGGGTGTAGGGGTTAGGAGTTAGGGTTTAGGGTTTTAGGGTTTAGGGATAGGTGTTTGGGCTTCAGGACGATTCAGGGCACAGGCTTGGGTTTGGGGACATGACCGCTAGGGCTCGGAGACCCTGCAGGGCACGTGGTGGTCTGCCTGCGGAGATGCAGCCTAGCCCTGCAACCAACGTGCTAATGTAGGGGCCTTAACAATCAGAATAGGGTTTGGGGTTTACTGTACTATAATTATAATAAGGAACCCACGACACCCTATTCTAATCATTAACAAAGGCCCCTACATTAGGAGTTGTTGACAGGTTCTTGGGGTTTCGACATCAGAGGTGCTCCCTCCCCATTGCTTGTCTGAAGTGCTCTGGTCAGCATGTTGAGGAGTACTTTTGAACAGGGTTCCGTATCAGGGGGAGGTCCAGCCCATGCCGTGTCATCTTGACAAAGGTGCCGAAGACTTACCTCTGTCAACACACACTTCAACGAACACCGCTTGCAGAACCATAACAACAAAGACGAAGCCACCCGTGTCCCAAACGAGAACGAAAAACATGACGGAGAAAGCAATAAACGGCACTGTGATTTATGCCCTTCTTGTGATCACAAAGGAAATCCGAGTAACTCTTACAGTAGTAATCACTCCCTTTAGCAGAGCAGAGTTTGACCGCGCTGCCAACACAAGCGCCGAGATGACCGAAACGAGGTCTGAGTTCCAATGTAGAACCATGCAATGGGAGTTTCCAAAAATTAGGGCACCTTATTTTGGGGTCCTTATAATAAGGGTCCTACTATTTAGGGTGCTATCTTAGGGTCCCCTATTTTCGGAAACTCCCCAATGAATTTTGGGCGATCGTAAGTTTAGGAATACAGGCTGGCAGCAAAGATGAAGGCTGATGTTTCTGCTTTGGACCCAGGCAGAATCACGTGAAGAAAATAAACTCCGGAACCCTACAATCTTTCCTGCTGGTACCATGCATCCAGGCTGCGAGCACAGCCAGGATTCCCCCAGCATTGGACCACAGGTGCGGGTTGCCGATCTCAGCAAAAGCTGAGCAAACCATTAAAAAAGAAACGTTGCGGAGTAGGTTCCATCCTGCTGTGTTCATACTGTTTCGGACAGTGTTCGAATCTCCGGAAGCATGCGGAAGCGTCTAACTATTTTTTTAGTTTATGCTTCGCGAATCCAGCGTCGTCGCACATCGATGGCGTTAGTGTGCTTGCAGCAACAGACTCGCCATGAAGTCGTGGCATGACCACAACAGTGACAGTATTGCTTACTCTGCAGACGACGTGCTTGCCGACCAGGTGGGCGTGCGAAGTGCAGGGGTCACAAAGATAGTGGGCTTCACATGCAGCACAGGCTCGGAAAATCCATGCTCCATCGGTCCAGCTTTCTGTCAACTGGCTCGGGAAGGTGCGATCATCCAAACCAACTGAAAGGCTGTGGGGCCCATTTCCCATTAGCCAAACATTACAGCTAAAAACCATGTTGCAGCAGAATTGCTGCCGCCGAAACGGCTCAAAGCAACAACAGAATGTAGCCTTGTCAGTCTGGTGTAAACATACCTCGACATGGATAAGCATTAGGGCCTGTGCCCTTACCAGCCAAACCCTCAAGCTCCTTAAAACCCCTTCTCCTGAATCTGCAGTAGATGTTGGAGCTACGCCACCAAATCCCAACCTCAGACTGCAAAAGGTTGACCACAAGTTAAAAATACCCTCACCTCATCCTTAGAATTGAAAAACAGATAAAGTCGACACCAACCCCAAGCCCGAGTGCCGCCGGGCCGCATAGTGTCCCGAGAACGGGTCCCCGTAGCCTTCGAGGCCCGGGATGTAGCCGCCCACGGTCCTTTATGAGTGGTGGGGCTTAGGTTCAGGGTTTAGAGTTTAGAAGCCTTATAGAGTCTATAGTTAAGGCTTCAACTTTAGAGGGTTGGGGCTTAGATTCAGGGCTTAAAGTTTACAGGGTTCACGAGTTTAGGGTCAGAGGAGTCTGCGTTTGGATATTGGTTTGTGTCTTGTCTGTATTTGTCGTGCTTCTTTCGCTTAAGATTGGGGAACCGGGTCTAGGGGGGCGTGGGGTGTCGATAGGGCTGAGACAAGATTTGGGGCGTGGGGTCGAACCTGAAGGCTTAGGCTTCGAGGTTGAGGGTTTAGGCTTTGAAAGACCAGGATTTGGGGTTTGGGAGCTAAGCTTGAGGGACTACGGTGCCTAAAGGTTTGGGGTCGAGGCTGTCGGGATACCCTTCGCCGGCACTGACTTTAAGGTGCACGACTTGGGTGCAGGATTTTGCGAGTACCAGGCAAGGACTGCAGGAGACAAAAGCAACGAAGGAGCACTCTTGGCAGGTGTCATGAGTCACACCACAGCTCAAACAAAAGCTCACGTCGCTGTCCAGGATTCAGGGTGCAGGGTTGCGGGAAGGGCATGAACGTAGCTCTGTCAACGTTTCGCCTGGTTAAGGCTCACCGTCCAAATATGCAGGGTCCCATCGCAACAGAAGGCTTCTTAGGTTGGCCCCTTTAAACTTCAAAGCCATTTCAACATATTTGTAAATAAGACCCTCTTAGGCCCAATAAGAGAAAACATAAAATGCCCCAAAAGGCCAACCTAGCCTGCTTCTTGCATCAGCGTTTCGAATCGCCGTTCTATCGATACGGAAATTGATGTGTGGCTAATACAAAAAACGCCTTAATCTGTAGGGTGTTAGGGTATATTATACTGTAATAACTATAATAAAGGCACCGAAATAGAGAGGGATGCATCGTCGTAGTCGCTGTCTGATGTGCTTCGGGAAATGCACGGTAGCACCAGTAGCAAGAGATTATTTAGTGGAAGGGCTTTCTGTGACACTTCTGATATGATGAACGGAAAATGCATGCCGCACTCACCATAAAACCTCACATTCGAACTGTAGCAACGAATACCAGTTTAGAACGCTGAGCCCTCAAAATCATATGTGCCGAGGGGCAAGTAGACGATGAAGTACCCCGCCCACCACACCATCGCTCCACAGATCAACCTGGCCCCAATCACTGCATGGCCCGCTTCTCCAGCAGAGGACCAACATATGGAGACTTGGCACCGACAGTTAGCGGCTACAGGGGAACCCTAAACCTTAGATGCAGAGATTGTACTTGCAGGAAATATGGCAGAGAGTGCCTCGCGAGGGCCTTTCAGTGAGGGGCACTTCGGAACGGGCAAAGATGACAGAAGGCGGGCGCCTGATCGGCCAGTGAGGCCCTGGTACCAATGCACACTTGTGAAAATCCTGGGCCGTAACTTAGACCTCTAGAACGACCAACACGCGAAACCTAAACCACTCCACCCGGTGACTAAACAGCGATGTTTTTGTGTGTGGTTTCGAGATGCAGATTTCTATCATCCCCTTCATTTGGTAGCCCGCAAAACTTACAGTGCGATCCTGCGTCGGGCTGCGGGTCGCTACACCCTAATGTAGCGGCCTTGATTTTTTTAATAGGGTTTGCGGGTTCCTTATTATGAGTCCTTTGCAGCTGCATTTCGTGGCTGCTGCTCCCGGTAGTTAGCTTTAGGATCCCGTCCCTGAGCCCTTCAAACGACCCCCGGTAAGGCTAATCTAGGGGCCTTAATAATTAGAATCGGGTTTCGGGGTATATTATACCGTAATTATAATAAGGGAACTTCCAAAAAAATGTAGGTAATTCTTCAGGCCCCTATATTACCCCTAGTAGGGCGCAGATGTATGGTAGTCTTGCCTGATTCAAACTCGTCTTCGGGTGCAGCCCCGGGGCCGGAAAAAAGGGGAAGGCTGGAAGAGGAAGAGACTACTTCGCAGACGCCCTCACATCCCCAAGCCCTCGAAGCATCCTCTCCTTCTGAATCGCCTTTGCAGAGCTCTCTGCAGGCATGTGGCTGAAAGATGAAGGTCGTGCCGTTGAGGGATCCTGCCTTCGGCGATTTCAGGCCGGAGCTCGAATCATTTGGGAGTCCCAGCCCAAGTCTCTCAACATTCTCCTCAGGGAGCCCGAAAAAGAACCGGTGTGCGAATCCCAAAAGGCTGACCCTGCGTTGAAAAACATGGTACAAACCAACGGCTGGCAGAGAGGCCGGACATTTTGTGCGGGACTTTGGTGTGTCGGGCCGTCGGAGCTGGGGCTGAACGCTTGGCGGTGGTAGGAGATACTTGGAGGTTCATGGGTAGCTATAAGTGGAGTCATGTCCCCAAATATGGTTTATAATTACAGATACCCTACTTATAACTACCCATGAACCTCCAAGTACCGGTGCCGCTCTTACTGAGCTTGGCTACGCCTTCTTCTCTCTGCTGTGTTGTGCGGGGGGCGTCAAATTTTCGGCTTCGGCCCGCGTCCGTCCTAGCGACTGATGTGAGTAGGGTCTTGTGAGGATGTGAATGCACAAAACCACAACTTTACGAAGGGCAGCATTGAGGACACTGTATATAGCCGATACAGGACGCTTTTGTGACTCGTTGTGGCGCATGCCAATACGGGTGTCAAGCCAACCCTGCTAAACACATTCTTTAAGGGACAATAGGAGGGACCCCTAGAGGCCCTAGAAGGGACCCCTAATTCGAATACCCTATATAACCCATATCCCTTTAAGGGTCCCTCTAGTCCCTTGAATTCTACACACTAAATGCTTCAGCTGTCTGCCCAGAATGTTGAATATCCTGCTGCTGCCATGTTTTCCATCAAATCAAAGCCCAAAGAAAGACACTGCTATAGGCCTAGACTCTAGACGCCTCAAGCCTGCCTTTCAAGCTTGCGGGGGATGATGTGGGCTCAAGGCTTGGGGTGCTAGTCCAGGGTTGAGATATAACACACCAACTACTCCCTGCCAAGCGGCAGTTTTCACCTGAAGGTGGCTTATCTCGCTTGCCTTCGAGCAGTGCAACTCCACAAGCTTGCTACTGCTGGGCATTAGCGCTGACTTAGCTCGCCCTGGGCACTCCGAAAACCACGTGAGTCTTTTTCACTCGGGACTCGGCTACTTCCCTGACTTCGGTACCAGCTGGAGCTGCTAAGGGTTTAGGGCCGTTTAGGGCGCAGCCGATGGCACCAAGCGATCCCGGCCTTTGCCTCTTGAGCGCCAAAGATGGCCAGTCTTCAAAAACCACAAGGACGTGGCGGTAAAAACATGATCGATGTCCAAAACTCGCCATCTGGGCCCAGACAGACATGAAACTCCAGTCCCCATGCCCTGCACCCCGAATGCACCGCAGAAGGCTTGCCCACCCACCCACTACTCCATTTCCCCCCGGGCTCGGAACTGGAGGCTTGCGGTATAGAGAGTCTGGGTTCAAATATTGGAAGGGCTTCGGGAGGCAAGTTTAGGGAAGCCGAAACCCTGCTAAACCCTGAAGCCCTCAAGGCTGTTGAATCCCTTGGCCCTCGAACCCCAAAGCCCTGAAGCCTGAAGCCCGAGGAACTTAATACAGGAGCCTTTGAAGAATAGGGTGCTGAACATCTCTCATAGAAGACTACAAGGCCATAGCTGTGCTGTGATGTTGTCAGCCCCCAATCTGTGAAATCTAGTTTGCTTAGTGTAAGGAACTGTAGGAGGGTACCTTCTAATGAGCATTCAGACCCCTATTTACGAACAGTGCGTGTACACACACAATATCAAGATATAAGTTATAGGTGCATACATATATAACATAATCACAATATCGAACCGTAAGGGGGTAGGTTTACTCATGATTCAGACCCCTTGTTGTAAGGGCCTTCTTGGCAGCGCTCCACAGTGGCTCGGAGGAGAGCGCAACCTGGACTGCAGCCCCCCAGTTGGGCATGTAAGGAACATCGTTTCTGTTTTCTTGCCTCCCATCGTTTAGGTTTGGGACAAAAAGGTTTCGGGTCTAGCTTCAAGGAATTTAGAGGCATGTGGGTTTTAATGGTGCTGTTTCCGTAAGGAGACAGATATAAACTAAATGATTACCTTAATTATTGTGACCCCATTTTGTCATTGTGTTGTGTGGAGGCACCTCGATGTAAGCATTTGCAGAGAACTTCTCGAAGTGGCGCTCGTAGACGTCCACGACGCCTTTGGGCACGGTATTCACAGGTCTTGGTCAGGGAACCCTAAACCCCTAAACCCTAAACCTCTGTGTGTGTCTGTCTGTCTGTCTGTCTCTGTCTCTGTCTCTGTCTCTGTATCTGTCTCTGTCTCTGTCTCTGTCTCT